CATGGGCGCCCCCGTGCCCGGGCCTCCGTCACCCCCGGCCGGCCGGCACGGGCCGCTCGGCCAGCTAGGCCCGGTGTGTCAGCAATGGGTTGTGTCGAGGTAAAAACAGAAAAGAAACAGACCCCGCTTTCGCCCGGGTGGGGGTGGAAAAAGAAAAAGAAAAAAGGCGTTTCTGTTGGGCTTCTGTACAAGCAGGGGGCCGTGGTAGAGAACAGGCCAAGCCCAGCACCTGTGGATCCTCTCTTCACAAATGCAAAGGACACGTTTTGCTCTACGTTATTTTTCTGGGGTTCACGTTGGTGACAAAGACCTGGGCGAGCGCAGCAGGATTTGCCACAATGCTAGTTTTAAACTGATACCCAGTTCCACCGAGCGTGTGGCAAGTGTCATTATAGCACGGTCGCCGTCTTGGGTCGGTTTCGCTTCACGCCTGGTTTTTCAGGAAGCGATGAGGAGCGCAAAGTGAGGGTTGCCTGTAGAGTGAGGCTTGGTTTTTTTTCCCCCCCCACATGGCGATTACTCTTACTTTTGATTTGTTCTGATCTCATTATCTCATCATTTTTCTGTAGTTAACTTTGGTGACAAAGGCCTCAGTGAGACTACAACAGGATAAAATGGCTGCCTATACATGTGCTGCGGGCGGGGCATTTTAATTAGGGTGGTACCACTCTGTAAAACAGCTGGCCGTGACACATACAGGCATACCTCAGAGATATTGCGGGTTCGGTTCCAGACCACCGCAATAAAGTGAATATCGCAATAAAGCGAGTCACATGAATTTTTTGGTTTCCCAGTGCATATAAAAGTTATGTTTACACTATGCTGTAGTCTGTTAAGTGTGGAATAGCATTATGTCTAAAAAAACAATGTATGTACCTTAATTAAAAAATATTGCTAAAAAATGCTAACCGATGGAAAAATGGCACCGATAGACTTGCTCGACGCAGGGTTGCCACAAACCTTCAATTTGAAAACGCAATATCTGCGAAGCGCAATAAAATGAGGTATGCCTGTATTAAGCCCCCCACCTTTCAAAATGCCTGCAGGGCACTTTAACTAAAGCTCATTCACGAGCTTTAACTAAAGCAGGCCCACAGCCATTTTGAAAGGTGGGGGGTTTAACACACATGATGATGAGGGGACGCGTTCATGTTCCAATTAGGTGAATGGAGTCTGCTCTGACACCTAACTGGAATACGAACCAGCACATCTAGGGGCAGCCACAGGCCTATACGGCTGCCTATAGATTCACAGATTGTAAAGTCGTAAGGGACCTTGGAAGATCGTCATGCCCACAGACGTGCTGGTTTGTATTCCAGTCAGGTGTCAGAGCAGACTCCATTCATCTAGCTGGAACATGAACAGGTCCCCTCACCATCACACATGTTAAACCCCCCACCTTTCAAAATGGCTGCAGGGGCACTTTAACTAAAGCTTATTCACCAGGTTTAACTAAAGCACCCTCGCAGCCATTTTGAAAAGTGCGGGGCTTACTATGCATCACAGTAATCTGTTTTATTTAGAGTGGTACCACCCTAATTAAAATGTCCCACCTGCAGCACATGTATAGGCAGCCATCGTGTGGGAAAAAAACTTCTTATCCTATTGTGGTCTCGCTGAGGTCTTTGTCACCAAAGTTAACTACAGAAGAATAACAAGAGCAAAATAAGTCAAAAGTAAGATCTGGCATTTGCCCAGGGCTGCCTCCAGCCTGAATAGAGTGAGAACTACCAGCTTGTATTGTAAGGACGGAGTTGGTTATAAGTGCATAGACCACTTCAGTGCATAGCAGCTTTCATCCCCACTGTCAGCTTTATAAGGTAGTTGTACTCCCCTTAACTACATGCTAACTGTGACTGTGATTGTCTAGTTTATAACTGTGTAAGTCTGCCGGAAAGTAAAGAGAAGGCAGCTGTCATGGGACTGCTATTCAAAGCCTTTGGAACTGACCAGTTTCATTTTCAAAACTGCCCTCTCCCTTCAGTTTTTAAGACTCCTAACAAACAGCTCTGAAACTAACTCCATTCACTTTCAAACTTTGGATGATCAGTTTCTATACTGCTAGAAGCAGCATTGAAAATGATGGGAGCTAGGCAGTTGCAGGGCTACTAATACTCTTAAGTACACAGACTGTCAGTGCTAATACGCATTGCTTGTATTAACTTAATGATAACTGCATACTGTGGATAAGTGAATGGTGTTTTCTTAGTCCAGTAGCTATGAGAGAGAGTACATACAGAGTAGGTGGTTCATTTCCAGGATATTTTGCAGTAGATAGTTTTACTAGGTTTCACAACCTACAGTATCTGCAAAGCAGACTGGAAAAAGAGGTATTATGTTGGGGAAAATAAAGGCTGGGAAATACCAGAGGAGGT